GAGGAGGAGGAGGAGGAGGAGTGGAATGAAAGGAGGCGGGGTGGGCCTTCGGGCCTCCATCGGCGATGGGTCAGCGGTTGGGGCCTGCTGCGCTCCCCCCCGGAGCTTAGCCCCCAGTTGTCCCTCACGGCACGGGGACGCCAGCGAAGCCAGAGGAGCCTCGACCCTCGCTGTTCTCTGATCCTGGAATCGTCGAATCTTCGATCCTCGGATCCCTGGAGATTCTCGGCTCCTCGGATCCTCGATCCTCGGATCTTCGGACCCTCGCCTCCTCGGATCTTCGAGCCCTCGAAGTTCTCGGATCCTCGGACCCTCGGGCCCTCGAGCCCTCGAGCCCTCGCCCGCTGGACCCTCGGCGGTCTCCGGGCAGCCTCGGAGAGCCTCGCCTCTCCGGGCCCTCGGATCCCCCGTGAATATCCTCGCCTCCTCGAGGAGCCTCTCCGGCTGCGCGGACCTCCTCGAGCCCTCGGCTACCCTCCGCTGCCCCCGGGCGCCGAGCGCCCCGCGGCGGGCGCCTCCAGGGCGGCGTGCGCCGCGCGCTGGCCCGCGGCCACGGCGCGCCGGGCGCCCGCCTCCGCCGCCTGCGGGTGCCGGAGGCGAGGAGCGCGGCGGCGGCACCCCGCCCGCCCTCCTCGCCTTGGGAGGAGGGAGGAGGGAGGAGGGAGGAGGGAGGCGGAGGAGGTGGACGAAGGAGGAGGAGGCGGAGGAGGAGGACGAGGGGGAGGAGGAGGAGGACGAGAGGGAGGAGTAGGAGGAGTAGGAGGAGGAGGAGGAGGAGGAGGAGGAGGAAGGAGGAGGAGGAGGGGAGGGGAGGGAGGAGGGAGGAGGGAGGAGGAGGAGGGAGGAGGGAGGAGGGAGGAGAGGAGGAGGAGGAGGAAGGAGGGAGGAGGAGGAGGACGGCTATGAAGGCCCCGCCATACCGGACTCCTGCTCCACCTGAAATACAATTGCGATCCCTCGCTACAACCCCTAACAAATAGATATTCCCCCTACCACCCTCGATCCCACAAACACCACACACTCGCTACCCCACCCCATCAAGATTCGCTCCCCCCATACCCCCCCCACTCCTTACCCTGAAAGCCCTCCAGAGCAACATCCACCAGTCCCCAAATCCACAAACCCTCAATCACCCCCTCCTTCACATCCTTCCCCCCTCGCTCCCACCAATACCCCCTCGCCTCCCCTTCCCTCACCTCGCTCCCCCCGCCCCCCCACTCCCTCCCTCCCTCCCCTCCTCCCTCCCTCGCCACTCCCCCTCCCCACCTCCCTCCTCGCTTCCCCCCGCCTGCTGCCGACTGTGATTCCTGCTCCCTGACGTCGTGAGAAGTCTCCCACTGCTGGGAGCCAACAACGATCATGTTTCTTTGGCGCTGCACGTGTCCGCAATGTGCCGCCTCCCGCATTATTGCGTGATCAACTTTGGCGAAATGGTCCAGTTCCGCTTCCGTGTGTGACTGCTCGCACGTTATCGGTCCCCCGTTGTCATTCAGGTTGTTGCGGCATTCCGTGATCATTCTCGGTGGTGTTCCTCCTTACCGAATAGACGCTTGACTCTTCTCATTCTGCTCCGTTGGTTTTCATCTCGTTGGCATTGTGGATTCTGTCGGCGCATGCCTCCAGGTAGGCGTCCTGACCAGCTCGGATTCGATGCGCCAGCTGCGATCTCGAATGATGCAGGATCGCGTTGATCGTAAGCTGTAGTTCTTCGTGCTCTGCCTGATGTTGTAACACTAGAATAACCGTCCTTATCAAGTCAGTGAAGGACGATGGGTCATCAAGCGCATGACAGAGCTGTGATGGTGGGAGTCGTAGCCTCAACCAGTTGGTATGCTAGCTTCGACGTGCTAATGCGAGCCCGTGTTGACTGAGGTTCCGCGTTCCACTCTCGTCGTGGGCTCAACGGAACCGAAACATAGCGAAGGTGGCGTCGGTGATGTAGGGCTTCGGAATTATGATTGGCTCCTGCTTGAAGACTTTGTCCGCAACCTCTTTGGCGCTCTTGTTCCAAATGCAAGATGCTTAGTGTGGGAGAGTGCTACGTAGGTCTGTGGCATGGTTAGGGCCAGGTTGTCCTCGTCTTCCTGAGCCATGTCCAGGTCCCCGATGGTTTTGACGTCCGTCACGGTGTCGAGATTGTTGGTTGGGATGACGATGTAGTCGACTCGCTCCGCCTTGCCTCCCTTTTGTAAGTGTATGTAGGCCCTCTGCACTCTTTTGCCATGTTGACTGCAGTGAACTGGTTGCCTAAAGGTACTCGTGGAAGCGGGCCCTTGCCTCGTTCTCCTCAAATCTCTCCCCGTCGTCTCCTATTGAGTCCGTCTCCTCCTGCTCCTCCTGCTCCTCCTCCTCCTCCTCCTCCTCCTCCTCCCCCTCCTCCCCCTCCTCTTCGCCATTCTCCTCCTCCTCCTCCTCTTCCTCCTCCGACTCCTCCTCCTCCTCCACCTCCTCTCCTCCTCCTCTTCCTTTCTCCTCCTTCTCCTCCCTCCATCTTCCCCTTCCTTCCCTCCATCCTCCCTCCCTCCTCACTCCTCCTCCCTCCTTCACTCCTCTCGCTCCTCCTCTCTCTCTCGGGCCATCCTCACTCTCGGCTGCGCGGGAGAAGGAGGGCAGGGAGAAAAGAGTTAGCGCGGGGCAAGGAAACAAACTTGGTAATGACGAAGCAGAACCAGCAGAAGACGACGAAATGGAACGATGAGATCTGGGAGCCTCCGTGACCCTGGTAATGAGGTTCACACCCCGCCAGCCACTCCTGGACGCCCCAACCACTCATCCTGCTCCTCTTCCACCTGCATTCTGCCTGGCCGCGAAGCAGGCTGGCAGCCACACACCCGGCGTAAAACAAAACGTGGCCAGAAACCGCTGGTGAAGAACATCACCGAACCGCGTAATCTAAGACATCACAGTCGTGGCGGTGATTGTGGCGTCACCAGAGTGCAATGGCAGCCAGTGTCGGGTGAGGAACCCCGATTCTGCTCTCGCCCAGGTGAGAGGGAGGCTGGAAGGAGGGGGCGTCCACAACAATATGGCCCGACACATGCGCGCGGACCAGAACCGTCGTGAAAGAAGAGGGGGCCATGAAATCCAGGAGAGTTCACTGCCTCGGCCATGATCACTGCCTCGGCCATGATATACACCCCCTTCTGCAGTCAAGCTACCACGACAGGGCACGCCACGTTGGGAGCAGCGCCCCTTGTCGGCTCCATGAGACATTAGACGCCCGGCTGCACGAGAAGCTCGAGAGGGAGAACCAGGAAATCACCTACAGCGAGCCCGTCCTCAACCCAGAGTGGTCCTTATTTGAGCATCTTGAATGTAGTCCTCACCCTCTCTTTAGACGACCCCGGCCATCGCCTCCTCAACCTCCAACTCCACCCCCTCTGCCTCCCATGTCCCTGCGCCCCCACCCCCCAGCAGAAGACACGACCTCGCACTGCTTGCGGATCTCCTCTTCCGTGCAGCGGCGGACCTGAGAGGAGCGGGTGGGAGAGATGGGAACGGCGGGGACCAAAGAGGCCAGGGTCCCCCCGACCTCTCCCCCCCCCCTCCTTCCTCCTCCCTCCCTCCCCATCCAATCCTTGTCCTCCCTCCATCTGGCCCTGCTCCCCCATCCCTCCCACTCCTCCTCCCGAGGGAGAGGATGGGAGATCAGCGAAGAGGCGGTGAGAGGATGGCAGAACTGGACGGACACGGACGAGAGGGCGCGCCGAGTCCGGTGCGGACGGCAGAGCACGAGGATCCGAAGGGGGGACGGGGAGGAGAGGGGGAGGGAGAAGGAAAATGATCAGCCATCGTGGCGGACGGGGGAGGACGGCGAGGACCGAGGCTCGAGGAGGAGGCAGGATCCAGACGTCCGACGCCGCCCACGCGTCACAGCGCAGCTCCTCTCAAGCTCTGGAGCCCTCGACGGGGACACGCTGTTTGTTCGTCCTCTTGCTGCCCTGGGTCCCCAGGGGGGGGGCCCGCAACATGTTGCAGACAGCGGCCCCAAACTGCCGCCGTGACTCTGCCTTACGACGCGAGGGCGTCGGAAGAGGAGGGATTCGGCGGTGGACAAGCCTCCCTTTGGCAAACCCCCCTTTTCGTGAAACTGGCCCAAAACCGAAACCGACGGACCTGGACCCGCAAAAATGACGGCCGCGACGCCCTCTCGAGAACCGAAAACGGCCAATGCACTACTCGACGTGTCTTGAGCAAGGACCGACCGTCCCGGCATTCCTATAGTCCTACCACGCGATGCTCTTAGAGCCCAACATGTTATGATAACAAAAACAATGTATTAGAACATAAAGCCGATGTGATAAAACAACACAGTCCCAGCCAGACATGTTCTAAGCACGTTTCGTGGGAACCACAACAGGCTCTTAGAACATTGATTGTTTGGTAGGGCTGTAGGCACGCCGGGACGCTTCGCCACTTCTCGAGTGCCAGGGTAGAAGGCCTATTAAACCTCCGAGGGATGGAGAGAACAGATGCTAGAATTAAGTCGGGCCTGTCACCCTACAGGGGGATTTTCGACGAAAAATCAAAAAATAACCCAAAAATTGTCTAAAAAACATCCAAAAATAGAATGGGTCCTCGCCCAAAAAGAAATGCACACGTCCGAGCGATGCAACCCGAAGACCCGCCCTTCGGGTTAGAATCATGTCGGGCGTGTCCCCCTACGGGAGGAGGGATGGTCGTCGAACGATGGGAATTCAAAGTTCGCCGTGCTTGATGACAACTCCGACGCTGGGAAGCACAACAAGGAGGAGAGACGGAGGGAGGAGGGACGGAGGAGGGAACGGAGGAAGGAAGGCGACGAGGACGGCGAGGACGGCGGCGGCGGCGGCGAAGAACGACGAGACACGCCTCCCGCAGTTGCTCCTCGGCCCCGTCCGCGCGCCGGATCTGCACCTGCGGTGGGCGCGGCCCGGCGGGGGGGCGGGGGCGAGGGGCATTAGGGGGGCCCTCCTCCTCCTGCTCCTCCTCCTCCTTCTTCCCTTCTCCTCCTCCTCCTCCTCCTCCTGGATTCCCTTCGGGGATCATCCATTAAAATTGGAATGATACAGAGAAGATTAGCATGGACCCTGCGCAAGGATGACACGCACAAATCCAGAAGTGTTTACAATTGTTTTTTAATGACGAATTAGAACATGTCTGTTCCATTTGGGGCCCAATATGGGCCGACCTTCCCCAAACGTCCTAAGCTGCGGAGTTCGGCGCCTACGGTGCCACAAATGAGTTTTTCATCGCCCCATCAGTGGGCTACAGCGATTGCAGTAATGTAGTTTAGCAGTTTGCCCAGCCGTTAGCACGCCAGACTCACTATAAGCGACCATACGCTGGCATGTTTCTCAAGAGGCACTCTCTCTTTTCTAGAGTGGAGACGGTTCGTGCGCATGTCAAGGACAGCGACGACCTCACATAATACGAACTCTTCTGTAAGCGAGGAATTGATGCTGCCGACCAGGCGGCCAAACTGTAAGCTCGCGTATTATTTACTACCTCTTTGGCCGAAGTTAGACCCAACGGATGTTCCCTGGGTCCGCATATCTGAGCCAGCTGCTAAGAAGGCTGCCAATTCAGTTGCCCACCAGTGGCACTGTTGTCGAACTTTTTGGCGACGCCAGGTTTGTTTGTAGTTCAAACGCCAGCAGGCACGTCCGCCTGCTGGAAACTGTTCTGGTAGATTGCCCCAGGTTGCCCTCGTTTTCCAGGAGCGGGGCCACAGAGTGATCGGCCTAGAGTGCTCTAACGACACCATCTGTATCTGTGCACTCAGTGCAACGTGTACACGTGTGGTGGTCCGGTCAAGCAGATCCGGGCCGATTGCTTGCCAGTGATTCAAGGATCCCCGAGTAAACACGCGGCTGCAGCGAAGAGATCGCTCGGCCGTGGACTCCACCCCAAGATCTCAGGAGTCTCTTGCCAAGCGTTTGATCCAGGATCATATCAGACTCAGCTCGGCGGACCGTTGGGTTGAGACCCTCGCTGGCACACGATTCGACTGTAGGCGAAAGAAGCAATCGAAGGAAGACCCACTTACCAAGCCTTCGATCTGTAAGGCCAGCAATGCGTTCCCGTCGTCGAGCCAGCGTCGTCCTCGGGTGGGGGGGGGACCGTCCCGATCCGAGGGCTGGGCCTGATCCGCTTCCCGCTCGGAGTGCCTCCCGCATGGTCCCGAGGCCAAGTGTGTCTTCGTCAGGGCCTGACTTGGGGGGGGAGGAGTGCTGTTTTTTCGGGCCCCTTTCAAGGAGAGGAGGAAACCACTCGGTTTCTTGTCGCCCCTCCTGTCAGGCCCTCTCCCGCCAATGAATTGGATAGGAGCCAGCGCGGGCAGCCGCGAGCAGTGCAGGAGCCTCTTCCCGAGGAAGATGTGGCTCCACTGGTGCAGGCGGCTGCTCGCGTAAGGGATTCAGAGTCTAGTGACTCTGACTGAATGGTCCTGGGGTCGCTGTCCACAGCGTCGGCCACCGCCCAGGTCCTTCTTTGCCAGACAAAACTGGCTCCCCCTGGTGGCACCTCCAGGGCACGATGCAGAACAAAAAAATCCTCCTCCTCCACCTCCTCCTCCTCTTCGTTCTCCTCCTCCTCCTCCTCCTCCTCGTCTTCGTCCTCCTCCTCCTCCACCTCCAACTCGACCTCCTCCTCCTCCTCCTCGTCCTCAGCGTCCTTTTGGACGCCCGAAATGGGTACCGAAAGAATGGGTACTATGCCCAACAGCAATTGTTGCCCCAAACCAACAGCGGCCGCTGTTGGGCAGGCGGCCTCCTGTCTCGAATGGACACAGGCCGCGGCGGCGTGGACAGCGAGGCCTGTTCAAAACGGACAGGAACTGCTGTTGGGCATTGTACCCATTCTTTCGGTACCCATTTCGTGCGTGCAGAGTCCTCGGGCTCCTCCTCTTCCTCTTCTTATCCCTCCTCCTCCTCCCGCTACTCCCCCTCCTCCTCCTCCTCCTCCTCATCCTCCTCCTCCTATCCCACCCCACCGCCCCGCTGCATGCCCCGCGAGGATAAGAGGGCAGCAGCACACGGGGGGGGGGGGAGCATCGAGCCAGAATCGGCGACGCGTCGCCGACGGATCGGCGAGGGGGGGGGCTAACCAACGGGGCCGCGCCTTCCTGTGCGGGGCGCGGGCTGTCGGGCCCACCTTCGGCGACGAGTGTGCGATCGAGTTTCGAAAAATCCCCCCCTGGAGCTCAGCCTCAGGTCGGGCATGTCCTCATACAGGCGGGCTCTGCCAGAGAAATAACACGCTATGCAAACAGTCGACACGTATGGAAAGGATGCACGATAAGGATGCAAGCGCCGTGGACGCCCATTTCGAAGCTTTTTGAGCGGGGCGCGGCCAGCCAAAGTGGCCAAGAATTGTCCGAGGAGGCAAGGATGCAAGGCCACCCTTGGGAAAGTTGCCCATCCTCACTATGCGGGTTGGCTTTTTAGCCTACAGCGCGGCGAAACCAATCTTCAAGGATGAGGCGGTCATCAGACAAAGTTAGGGGGGTTGGCTGCGGACAGCACGCAGTATGGAAAAGTAAACGCACCACCACCACAACCCGGAGGATGGAGGCAGACCGTGAGCAGGGGAAGGTGGTGTATGTCGCTTCAGAAGCTGTCGCAGGACATCGTGGACACCCGCATCCCGCACACCAGCTCATCCTTACATAATCCCCCCACATGTGGCGGTAGTGGTGCTCCTCCTGCTCCTAACGCTGTGCTGACCCACGGCGCAGGGTGGATCTCCCCACTGTTTGTTCCTTGGCAGTAGTAGGCGCCACATCCTTGGAAGCCGAGACTGCGGCTGGGCCCCCCTCGGGGTTCCAGGGGGGGGAGGCTCAAGGTACGGCTTATCCGCCACGGTTCCGCTGGACATCCGGTGGAGCGTCCTCTGCTCCTCAAGAGCCCCTTGAGCCCTCAACGTTGGGTTACTCTAGCTCCATCCTCTGAGGGGCCCAGGGGCCAACAACCAGATTTGTTGGGGCACCTCGCGAATTCCGCCGGACTCCTTCCGAGGCTAGGGCGTCCCAAGACTGCCAAGGAGAGAGCCCACCATGCCCCAAAGACGGCCAAACCCGACCGCCGCCCACGCAAGACGGGTAATGTGTATTCAGACAGCGGGCGCTGTAAATATCAGTGCCAGCCGTGCGGAAGAACTGGGCAGAAGGAGGAGGAGGAGGAGGAGGAGAAGGAGAGGAGGAGGAGGAGGAGGAGGAGGAGGAGGAGGAGGAGAAGGAGAAGGAGAAGAAGGACGACGAGGAGGAGGAGAATTAAGACGAGGAGGAATAGGAGGCGGAGGAGGAGGAGGAGGAGGGGCAGAAGAGCATCGAAGGCGTTCAACATAGGTTGGGGTGTCGCAGCACGCCCCGTAAAGGGGAAGGAAAAAGGGACACCCTCCGGCTCTTTCAGCAGGTAGGCGCCTGACATAGGTAAGCAGGCTGGAACCTAGGAACCCCAACAGAACTTCATTCGACGAACGGTGGGCACGTTGAGCATATGGATCTGCACATCTATATATATATATATATGTATATATACATGTATATATAGAACCACGCGCGCCTCGCGCGCGCTAAGGTTCTAGCAATCCTGGTTGTAGTCAAAAGAGTTCCTCGGGGAACTTCACCGACGACCCCAGATACAACATTGGCTCAGCGCCCCCCGCCAATGCCGGCACACCCCTCAAACAGATCGCGCCCACAGGGATCTGCAGGCACGCCCCTCGCGCAGATCGTGCCCAGCAAGCCACTGCATTTGCGACACCACTGGGAAGCTTCGTATCATCGCCCGGCTTACTTCGGCACACCTCTCGCACGCACCGTGGCTCGCAGGGAATCCCCCGGACGGTCCCAGACCCAAGACTCGCATGCCCCCCCGCCTACTTGACTACCTACCAGACCACCCCAACCCAACCCGAAGACCCGAATTTCGGGTTGGGGGGGGTAAGGGTTCCACATGTGTTTTTTCAATGTTTCCCGACCCCCCCCACTGGAAATGGAGGATAAATTTGGGCCTTCGGGTTGGGTTGGGGTGGTCTGGTGGGTGGTGACTCCTTTGGCACACCTCTCGCATGGATCGTGGCCCACAGGGTTCGCATTGCGCCGCCCCGCCCGTTGTGGCACACCCCGTCACGCGGATCGTGCACGCAAAAAGAACACCCAAAGGCCTCGTCCAGCGCCCCACAGCCCATGTCGGCACACCCGTCACACGAATCATGCCCGAGAATGAGCTCCACATATGGCACACATTGGCAGCTTCGCGTGGCGTCCCCCCGCCTATTTCGGAACATGCCTCGCACGGGTCGTGTTCGGAGGAAGTCCACCTGCGGTCTCAACGGGCGTGATCGCGCGGGGCCATCCGGAATTATTCAGTGGGGATTGTGCCCCTCATAGACGTCAGCGCGCCCGTGCACACGTGCTGCGCAAAAGCCCGCTTTCCGCATTGCCCCGCAGCGCGCAGCGTATGGAGAGACACCCGCGCCCTGCGGTACACACGACCGCACAGGGATCGATCCGTCGCCAAACCAATTGCTTTGCTTGTGAATCGATGGCCTTCGGCCAATACCGCTAGTGTGCCTGAGTTTGGGGCCCGACGATTCTTGGATACTGGTAATTCGGAGTCGGTTGGCATGCGCACTGGCGCCACGTGGAATGACTTTTGAAGTGTCTTGGGGCCTCTTCGGGGCCATTTACGGGCCTCTTGGGGGCCTGCTGGCGGCTCGGGGGGGGGGGCCACCGGGAGCGGATTGCTCGAACTGTAATTTTGGCATCCCCCCTCTGGGATCCCTCTTGGCCCTCTTGGGCCGTCTTGGGCACCTCTTGGACCGATTTGGGCCTTCTTGGGCCGTCCTGGGGCCCTATTGGGGGCCTGTTAAATCTTGGGGCGATATGCGAAGCCTCTTGGGCCATGTCGGCCGCTGTTTACGACACCAAAATGCGAGCATGCTGAACGTGTACGTTGGAGCTCCTGGGGCGCTCCTGGGGCGCATCTAGGAGCCTTCTTAGGACGCATCCGGAGCCTCTGGAGCCGTCTCGAAACAATATTCGGACGTATTCGGCCCTGTCGGGCTGCTCTGGTTGGGGAGCCCTGGGGCAGGGGTCAAAAACCTACCCCCCGCGACCCGCCCGCGACCCACTTGCGACCCACCCGCGACCCATCCCGCGATCCACCCTCGACCCACCCGTGACCCACCCGCGGCCCACCCGCAACCGATCCACATTGTAAAGAAGAGAAAATCGGCGCCTGCGGCGGGCTCCTTGTATAATTTGTGACACGTTGGCGCCTGCAGCGGGCTTCTCCAGAGTCTCGCAGACTACCGACGTCCCAACCGCCCCTTCACTCTTATCCGCATCTGCGGGGTGCTACGGTAATGTATATCTATACACATACATACATACATACATACATACATACATACATACATACATACATACATGCATGCATGCATGCATGCATACATACAAACATACATGCATACATACATACGTACATATAAAAAATAAGAAGGTGGACGTTTCACGGACGCTTGCCTTGGGAACATCCGGCGGCGCGCTTGAACTAGGGGGACCCCCCCGCCGCGAACGTCCGGCGCCGTGGAAAAGAGTTAGGGGGACGTCCCTCCCCCCCCTCCCCGACCACCCCACTGGCGCGAGGGAGGAGGGGGGTTTCGAACCCCCCTCCCCCGCAGTCGCCGGCGCTGGCACGGCGGCGGCGGCGGCGGCGGCGGCTTGTATCGCCGACGGCGGCGACGCAGAGACGAAGACCAGGACGAAGACGAGAGACCCGACAAGGACCCTGGTAGTCTTCTGTCCTCGGACCTGAAGTTCGGAACATTGACGGGCTTGGACCTAAAATAGAAATTGTTTCGGGTCGCGCCGCATGCAAACGTCGTCGTCGTCGCAGAACACGCCACTGTCGCCGTCATCGTCGTCGTCGCCGTCATCGTCGTCGTCTTCGCCGTCGTCGTCGTCGCCGTCGGCGTCGTAGTCGACGTCATCGTCGTCGTCACCGTGGCCGCCGTCGTTGTCGTCGTCGTCGCTACAGACGTCGTCGCCTCCGTCGTTGTCGTCGCCGTCGTCAGCGTCGTCGTCGTCGTCGCAGTGCTGATCGTCATGTCGCCGTAATCGTCGACGGCGTGCTCGTCGACGTCGACGTCGTTGTCCTCGTCGTAGTCAACGTCGTCGTCGTCGTAGTCGCCGCCCTGTCGTCTTCGTGCTCGTCGACGTCGCCACCGTCGTCGCCGACGTCGTCGTCGCCGTCGTTGCCGCCGTCGTCGTCGTCGCCGTCGTCGCCGTTGTCGTCGCCGTCGCCGTCTTCGTGCTTGTCGCCGTGACCACCGTCGTCGCCGACGTCGTCGTCGCCGTCGTTGCCGCCGTCGCCAATGTCGCCGTCGAGCCCGTTGTCAACATCATCGCCGTCGTCATCGTCGTCGCCGCCGTCATCGTCGTCGTTGTCGCCTTCGCCGTCGCCGTCGCCGTCGCCGGCGACTCGTCGTCGTCGTCGTAATCGTCGTCGTCATCGTCGCCGTGGTCGTCGTCGTAGACGTCGTCGTCATGCTCGTCGTCATGCTCGTCGTCGTCGTGACCGCCGTCGCCGTCGTCGTCGCCGTCGTCGTCGTCGCCATGGTCGCAGTCGTCGCCGTCGTCGTCGCCGTTGTCGTCGTCGTCGTCGTCGTCACCGTCGCCACCGTCGTCGTCGCCGTCGTCGTCGTCGTCGTCGTGTCGTCGTCGTCTTTGCCGTCGCTATGAACGCCGTCGCAGTCGGCGTCGTCGTCGTCACCACCGTCGTCGTCCATGTGGTCGCCGTCGTCGTCGGTCGCCGCCAACGTCGTCGTCGCCGTCGCCGTCGTCGTCGCCGTCGTCGCCGTCGTCGTCGTCGTCGCCGGCGTCGTCGTCGCCGTCGTCGTCGTGATCATCGTCGTCATCGCCGTGGTCGATGTGCTCGTCGTCGTCGTGTTCGGCGTCGCCGTGGTCGTCGTTCTCGTCGTCAAAGACTTGGACGGCTTCGTCGTCGTCGTTGTCGTCGCGGTCGCCGTCGTCAACGTCGTAGACGTCGCCGTCGCCGCCGTCGTCTTCGTGCTCGTCGCCGTCGTCATCGTGGCCGTCGTCTTCGTCGTCGTGCTGGTCGCCATCGCCGTCGTCGTCGTCGTCGTCATGGTGCTCGTCGACGTCGTCGTCGTCGCCGCCAGTCACAGCCGTCGTCGTCGTTGTCGTGTTCGTCGTTGCCGTCGTCGCCGTCGTCGCCGTCAATGTTGTCGCTGTCGCCGACGCTGCCGTCGTCGTCGTCGCCGTCGTCAACGACGCTGTCGTCGACGTCTTAATCGTCGTCGTCGTCGTCAGCGTCGCCGCCGTGGTCGTCGTCGTGCTCGTCGTTGTCGCCGTCGCCGTCACCGTCGTCGGCGATGTCGTCGCCGCCGACGTTGTCGTCTTCATCATCGTCGTCGCCGACTTTGTCGTCGTCGTCGTTGTCGTCCTCCTAGTCATCGTCGTCGTCGTCGTGCTCGTAACCATCGTCGTCGTCGTTGTCGTGCTCGTCGTCGTCGCCGTCGTCGTCTTCGTCCGCACAATCGTCGTCGTAATCAGCGTCATCGCCGTCATCGTCGTCACCGCCGCCGTCGTCAACGACGTCGCCGACTTTGTCGTCTTCGTCGTCGCCGTCGTCGCGGTCGTCGCCGTCGTCGTCATGCGTGTCGTCGGTGTCGTGGTCGTCGTCGTCGGCATCGTGATCGTCGTCGTCGTCGTTGCCGACTTTGTCGTCTTCGTCGTCGTCGTCGCCGTGCTCGTCGTCGTCGTGGTCGTCGTAGCCGTCGTCGCCGTCGTCATCATCATCGTCACCGTCCTCGCCATCGTCGCGATCGTCGCCGTCGCCGTCACTGCCGTCGTCACCGTCGTCGTCGCCTCAGTCGTCGTCGTCGTCGTCGTGCTCATCGCCGTCGTCGTTGACGTCGTCGCCGTCGTCGTTGTCGTCGTCGCCGTTGACGTCGTCGTCGGCGTCCTCGCCAGTAGTCGTCGACGTCGTCGTCGTCGTTGTCGTCGTCGTCGCCGTCGTCGCCGCCGTCGTCGCCGTCGTCGTCGCAATCGTCGTCGTCGTCGTCGCCGTCGTCGTCGCCGTCGTCGTCGTCGTCGTCATCGTTGTCTTCGCTTTCGTCGTCGTCGTCGCTGTCGTGGTCGTCGTCATCGTCGTCCTCGTTTTCGTCGTCGTCGGCGTCGTCGCCGTCGTCGTCGTCGTCGACGTCATCGTCGTCGTCGTTCGTGCTCGTGGTCGTGGTCGTCGTCGTCGGCGCTGGCGCCGTCGCCGCCGCCCCCAGCCAACGCCGGCGCTGGCGCCGGCCCAGAGGAAGGGGGGGTTCGAACCCCCTCCCCCGCTGAATCGTCGTCCTCGTCGACGTTCCCCGCCGCCGCCGATAGCCGCCGCTAGCGCCGAGCTGGCGCAAGTCTGGAGAGGGGGGCTCGGGGTTCGACCCCCCCCCCTTAAACCAGTGGGGGGGGGCGGCCCTCAATCCAGGGGAGGGGCGGTTTCATACCCCCCCCTCCAATTGCCCACAGAACACGCTCTTCCATATACATCGATACATATATACATATGTAATTAAAAACGACGCTATTGGTAGCCCCCGCGACGCCCAATAGCGCGTCCAATAGCGCGCCAAAGAAAGCGCAATGCATATCCCTCAATTAGCGCCATTGGTCTTGTGCGCCAGTTTGCGGTGTTGAGTATTCTTGGGCGCGGTGCGTGCGCCATTGGGCGCTATCTGACGCTATTCGGCGGTATACGTTCATCGCAAGGGAAGCGGAGGGTTACGAGAAATATTTGATAAAGCAAAAAAAAAAAGCCCTAGCCCTTTGGGAGGGGACCTAAGTTAGGAATGCCTAACCATTAGGGATAGGGGGTCTTTTCTGCAGGTGTGCCGAATCAGACCGCCCGGAATGATTATCCCTGGTGCGAAGACGGGGACCTCAGCGAGGCCACGCCTTCATCGTGCTATCAGGCTTAGGGTTTTTTTTTGCTCTCGATGACTCCCGTCTGAGGAGCAGCGGAGCCCTGCTCCCAATGCGGGGCCTGCAGCTCGTCCGAGACCCCGCGCAGCGCGCCCGAGAGCTCGGCGAGGCGGCGCTCGGCGCGGGGGCGGAAGGAGGCCCCCGCGGTCACCTGCGGCTGGGGCTGCTCGGGTGAGGCTCGGCGCCCGTCGAAGGACCGATGGCCCCAGGATTAAGTCGGGCCTGTCCTCCTATAGAGGGGGGGCTTTGGAGGGAAAGTTAAACATACCCCAGAAAATGCCCCAGAATGGTCTGAAAGCACTCTCAAGCATGATCGTCCCCGTATTTATCTTGTCTGACCATGCCTGAAGATTCCTCCTGCAGAGGGACAGGCCCGACGTCACCCTGGGAGACAGAGGCAGGAGGCTGGAGGCTGTGGAGGCCCGCGGCTCGGGGCCCCGGGGCTCTCGAGGCCGCGTGCTCGAGGCCCGAGGCGCTCGAGGGCCGCAGGCTCGAGGGCCGCACGCAGCTCGAGGCCAGGAGCTCGAGGCCCGGGGCTCGAGGGCCGCACGCAGCTCGAGGCCCTCCATGGGGGAGCCCTCGCGAGCCACAGGAGCGGGGGAGAGGGAGAGACAGCATCTGGGTCATGAGGGCTCTGCCGCGTCTTTTGAAGGCGTTGCAGCCTTCTGGACGGCGTCGGATCTCGGGGGAGGGGGCCCGGTCTGAGCCGCCCAACTTCGCGCCCTGGCGCCACGAGATGCGCGACGCGTGGTCATCTTCGCGACCTCGCGCCGCCCATCTGGAGAAGGAGATGAATCTCTGGCCAAGGCCGCGACGCGCAACGTGGGCTCATCTTCGCGCCCCCGCGGACGACCTGGCAGGCCGCGTGACGTGCCAGGGTGGTGGTCGTGCAAGCACGGCCCTGCATGCCGGCTTCCTGCGGGCTCTGCGGCACGGAGAGCAGATCAGATGCCTGTAAACGTATAGGCGTGGAATAGAAGAAGGGCGGACAGGAGGAATCAGGGAGACCCGAAAGTGTACGGATAAGAGGAGGAATGAGGAGGAATGAGGAGAGAATGAGGAGGAATGAGGAGGCATGAGGAAGGAGGGAGGAGAGGAGGAACGAGGGAGGTCCTAGAAACGGTTCGGACGGGCGCGCCAGTCGATACTTCGAGGTGTCCCCGCGCACGTTGGGGAGAAGGAGGCGCAGGGGAAGGTGAGGAGCGGTAAGGGGGGGGGGCGAAAGAGAGAGAGAGAGAGAGAGGTGGAGAAATGACGGGAGAGGAGGGAGCAGGGCTTGTCCAAGCACAAGTCTCTCGGGCGTCCAGGGGCCAGCGTGGAGCATGGACAAGTACCAGTGCTGCCACGTCACGGCACGGGCATGGCGGATGATGGCGGTGGTGCACCCACGGCGTCAAGTGCACAGTGTGCTTGCAGCAGGTGCACGCTTCATGATAAGGAAGGCACATGGGGGCGAGGGAGAGGAGGGGAGGGATTCGGAGGAGCAGGGTAATGAGGAACTGGGGGCAAAGGCGAGGGGGAGTAAGAGGAAGGCGCGGATAGGCGGGAAGGGGAGGAAAGGGGAGACACAGGGAAGAGGGATGCAGGAGGGAACATTAACGAATGAAGAGGGAGATGGATGAGAACTTGTGGGGGAAGAGGATGGGGTAGCTCCCCCTCGCCCTCAGCTGCCTCCTCTTCTCCCTCCTCGCCCTCCTCCACCCCTCCCCTTTTTTTCCTTGCGAGATCCGGCCTCCTCCGCCTGCTCCTCCTCCTCATCCTCGCGGGGATGGAAACAAGAGGATCAAGAGAAGGGTGAAGAGGAGAGGGGCGAAGAGGACAGGGGCGAAGAGGAGGAGGAGGAGGGTGAGAGGACGGGGGATACTGCTGGTCTTCGCCACGAGAATACATTCCTCCTCCCCCCTGGACTTTACCGCAGCCTATCAACAGTCCAAGCAGCTGCAGCTCTACTAGCGTACCACCAATAAAGCTTATATGTTCCCTCCTCCTCCCCCTGCTCCTCCTCCTCTCTTCCTCTGCTCATCCTCCTCGTTACTCGCGTTTCTTCCTCACTCCTCTTCCTCTTGCTCCTCCTCCTCGTCCTCCTCCTCCGCCTTCTTCTCCTCCTCCGCCTCCTTCTCCTCCTCCCTCCCTCCCTTCCCTTCCGTCCTCCTCCTCCTCCTGCTCCTCCTCCTCCTCCTCATCTTCCTCCTCCTTCTTCTCATTCTCCTCCTCCTGCCTCTGCTCCTACTCCTGCTCCTGCTCCTGCTCCTCTCTCCTCCTCCTCCTCCTCCTCCTCCTCCTCCTCCTCCTCCTCCTCCCTCCTCCTCCTCGTCCTCGTCCTCGTCCCCTCCTCCTCCCTCCTCCTCCTCCTCCTCCTCCTCCTCCTCCTCTCCTCCTCCTCCTAGTCCTCCTCCTTTTCCTCCTCCTCCTGACTACTCTCTTCCTCCCCTCTCCTTCTGCCGCACCTGGGCACTCCACTCTCCTTCTGCCGCACCTGATCCTTCTGCATGTCCTCTTCTGCTCCCTATCAAGCTTCCGTCCGCCTGCACCATCCCTCCCTCTCCTGCGGAAACGAAAAGGCACCGAAACTGCTACTCCCCAGACCTCTCCAGGGGTGCGTTGTGACCAGGATTTCGAGGAGAATCCAGCGGTGGCGACGAGGGCCTCCCAGGAGGCCCAAAAAGAGGAAACCTAGGCAAGGGTAGCGGTAGGGGTACCTTTTCCTCATCTGGTTCCCCCTCCCTCCCCCTCCGCATCATCCCTTCCTCCTCACTCACACTGCCTCCTTCTTGCCCCTCCTCCGTCCTCCAATCTTCTTTACCCCTCCCTCCAAATCCACGACATCGTAACTGCTTCAAGCCCACCCAGAATTTGCAGAACCTGGTACTCATCCCGAATATCGGCGGCGAGCCTTGGGGGGAAATGAGAAGGGGCGGGCCTTCTCAGAAGGCCCGGAAGTCCTCGGGCCTTCAAGGGAGGCTTCGGAGCCTTCCCCGAAGGCACAGACCACTCCCCAGAAGGCCGGAGGGTTGCGGAGGGCCTTCTCCTTCTCCCTCTCGCCCCCGACCCTCGCTCGCCGCCAAGAACCGTATGTTGTGATGGGCCCCGTGGAATAAGCGATCACCAGCTGGCCTTAGGTCGGGCATGTCCTCCTACAGGCGGACTTTGCAAGAACAGAATATCAAAAACTGCGTGGAGATTGTCAGCAATGATCGACAGATCGTCCCCTGACTAATGTATCTTTCCTATGTTTGAACATTATTCTGCAGAGGGAAGTGCCCGACTTGAAGCGTGCCCCAAAAAACACTGCCCCTCGAGGGCCGCCGACTCCTCTCGGGGATCTTCTGACCCGGGTCAATCAAGACCCGGGTCAATCAGGCCCTGCAAGATCTGGCAAGATCCTGCACCCAAACCCGGGCCAATGTAGAGGATCCTGCAGGATCCTGCACCCAAGCCCGGGCCAATGCGATCCTGGCCCCTGCAAGATTCAAGTCGGGCGTGTCCCCCTACAGGGGGATGTTCGACGAAAAATCCGCCGACCCTGTCGGCGTGTGCGAGGGGCTTGGCTGTTCGAGTCGTCGTCTCCGTCGGTCGTCGCCTCCGTCGTCCCCTTTTGCCTGCAGCTTCCTTCTCAAGCTCGTGAGCGAGAGAAAAATCGAGCAGTGTCGTAATCGCGTCGAATGGAAGCCCCTTCCCTTCGATCCCTTCCCCAGGGGGGGGGGGGTCCCCCGGGGGGGTCCCGGGGGTGGTGAGGGGGGGGTCCCCGGGGGGGGTGGGGGGGCAGGTTCGTTTTTCCTCGGGCGGCCTCGAAACCTCGAAAACACTCCAAATGAGGTCCGAATGCCCAACATGGCCCCCGAGACGGCCCAAGAGGGCCCCGAGTCGCCCAAAGATCGGCCGAAAATGCCCAAGATAGCCCCAAGACCGTCCAAAAGCCTCCAAGACGTCCCCAGGCCCACTCCAAGAGACCCCCAGGAAGCCCCAAGAGGCCCCCACGAAGCTTCCAAGCGGCCCCTAAGAGCTTCCCAAGAGGCCCACAAACTACCCCCACGCGGCCCCCCAAGAGCGCTCGTCGCGTCGTCGTCGTCCGTCGCCATTCCTCCGGCGGCCACGGCCGTAAGGCCTTCGCAGTAAAACATGCTCCAAAGATACTCCAAACAGTCAAAATAAATGCTCAAACCTAGTCCCCCCACTGCTTCTTGACTGCGTTTGAATATTTCCCCCCCGTAGAGGGACAGGCCCGACTTCATGCAAGATCGGGCGCTCTGGCAGACCCCGTTTGCATTGGGAGGGGGAGATGGGGGAGGAGGGAGGAGGGAGGAGGAGGAGGAGGGAGGAGAGGAAAAGGACGGGAGGAGGAAGGGGGAGGGGGGTGGAGGTGAGGAGGAGGAGGAGGAGAGTGGAGGAGGAGGAGGAGGAGGAGGAGGAGGAGAGAGGAGATGAGGAGGAGGAGGAGAAGCGCTCGTCTCGAGGCTCCCGATCCTCCCGCCTCCGGCGGGCGCCGCGGCCCCGAGAGGCGGGGCCTTCTCCTCGAGCCGGGCGATGGCCGCGTCCTGGAGGCGCGCGGACTGCCTGCGGCGGGAGCCGCGCGCGGGAGTGGCGTCGGCCTCGCATCGGGACACCTGGTCGGACCGGACGACTGCCAACACCCTCCTTCCTCCTCCTTCCACCTCCTCCTCCTCCTCCTCCTCCCTCCTCCCCTCCTCCCTCCTCCGCTCCTCCTCCTCCTCCGCCTCCTCCTCTCCTCCCTCCTCCTCCTCCTCCTCCTCCTCCTCCTCCTCCTCCTCCTCCTCCTCCTCCTCCTCCTCCTCCTCCTCCTCCTCCTCCTCCTCCTCCTCCCCTCCTGCTCCTCCTCTCTCCTCCTCCTCCTCCTCCTGCTCCTCCTCCTCTCCTCCCCCTCCTCCTCTCCCTACCTCCCTCCCTCCCCCCCCCATCCCCCTCCTTCCCTCCTTGACTCTCCTCCTCCGCCTCCTCCTCCTCCTCCTCCTCCTCTTCCTCCTCCTCCTCCCTGCTGCCTCCTCGAGGTCACGCTCGCAAACTGTGAAACAGGACGAGGCGGCACGGGGCGCCCCGGATATCTCGACCCCCGTCCCTGACGTCTTGGGGGCTGTCTGAGCGCACCAGAGGTTGGGGCACCACTCGGAGATTATGTCATCGGGGGGCGTGTATTCTCGAGAGGGTTGCGTCCCAACAGCCCCCTTGGTTTAGGAGGCAGCTACGGGGAGGTTTTCGTCGGAAAGATGAAGGAGGATTTGGCCCCATTTGATTTGGGAGCTATTACGCCGGAGTGGGCCTCGGATCAAGCGGGATCAAGCCGGATTAAGCGGGATTAAGCGGGATTCAGCCGGATTAAGCCGGATTAAGCCGAATGAAATCGCATTTCGGACCAAGGTAAAAACAGAAGTTGGCCTCCCAGGAGTTGTATCCGAAGCTGTCTGAGCGCATCAAAGGTTGGGCCACAACTTGGAGATTATGTCATCGGTGGGCGTGCATCCTCGAGAGGGGTGCGTCCCAACAGCCCCCTTGGGCGTATACCCGAGTTCCCCCTCTGGCCTGAGCGGCCCAACTTTTCCGAGAAAAGTCGGGTGTGGCGGGCGATACATCGCCTGCGAGAATGCGCGTCGGTTCAATGCTGCATCGGCACGCAGTCGGAACCGAAGCGGATCGGCTTCGCCAGGATGCGCAGCAGCGCAATGCAAGCATCGGGCCGCATCGGATCGCCAGTGTCGAAATCGAGCCGCATCGGGCCGGCCAGAATCGATATCGGATCGGATCGGATCTGATCAAAATGGACCCTGGCAGGGTGGGGCCTCTGTCAACCTCCAACACTACAGCGTCAAGTGCGTAGGGGTAGGTCGGGCATGTCCTCCAACAGGCGGAGCTTGGAGGGAAAGTAGAACATAGCAAAAACAAAATACTCAAACATGCTCGAAACATCGTCGCCATACCATGTTTTGACTATGTTTGACTTTTTTCCTCCTGTAAGAGGGCATGCCCGACTTCAACGTAGGGACGGAATAACCTTTTCGCTTTCGAGCTCCCGCCCGGCGCCACGGGCACCCGTCTATAAGCGCGGGCCGGCCCCCCTCAAGCACAGTGCACCTGCCGTCGACCCGTATATCATAAGGGTGCACGATGATCGGGTCGGGCGACAGGGGGGGATAGCAAAGGGGGGGTTTGAGAATCAGCTCACGTAGCTGATTTTCCTGGCGCCTCCCGGCGCCGAAGGCGGCTATGCATCGAGGAATGGACCCCTCGGCGGGGCCGAAACCAGCTGCATGCAGCAAATTTCGTAACCCCCCCCTTTCCCAATCCCCCCCTTTCGCCCGGCCCGAGATGAGGATGCAAGAACCTTCGGAGGCCGCTTCGAAGCTTGTCGAGCGGGACGCGGCCAACGAAAAGAGGCCAAGGATGGACCGAGGAGGCAAGGATGAAGGGGTACCCTTGGGAAGGTTGCCCGGCTGCCCCCATCCTCACTACGCGGGTCGACTGCATCTCTCGCTCGCTCTCCCTCTCCCTCTCCTTCCCCCCCTCCTTCTCGCCTCGCGCCATGGCTCTGCAGCCTCTCTCCCTCTCTCTCTCTCCCTCCCTCTCCATACCTCGCCTCGCCTCGTCGACGGCGGCGACGGCGCCGACGCCGACGCCGACGCCGACGCCGACGCCGACGACGACGACGCCGACGCCGACGCCGTCGACGCCGACGCCGCCGCCGCCGCCGCCGCCGCCGCCGCCGACGACGACGACGACGACGCCAGGTGCGGCGGCGGAGGAAGACGGCGAGGGCGCCTCTGGGCCGCGTCCAGCCGGGAGCTGAGGCGCTCCTCAAGGTCCTTGTGGCGAGGGCACCCGTGCGCCCGCCCGGCACACCGCCTCCTCGTCCTCCTCCTCGTCCTCCTCGTCCTCCTCGTCCTCCTCCTTCCCCTCCTCCTCCTCCTGCTCCTCCTCCTCCACCCTCTCCTCCTCCTCCTCCTCCTCCTCCTCCTCTCCGCCTCCTCCTCCTCCTCCTCCTCCTCCTCCTCCTCCTCCTCCTCCTCCTCCTCCTCCTCCTCCTCGTCCCCCTCCTCCTCCTCCACCTCCTCCTCCCCCTCCTCCTCCTCCTCCTCCTCAAAGGTCGACCCCACACCAGGGAGCCACAGCCACAGAACCAAAAAGGGACACCTCGGCGGGAAGACCCCCAGGGCGGGAGCGGGGAGGCCAAGAGGCACCGATGCCGCTGCTCCTCGGACCTTGTTTCCGACACGCTACGTCGTCCAAGACAGCGGATTCTGGGTCGCCGGCGGCCTTCAACGTGGAACGCCAGCAACCGGGGTCGCCGTTGGTCGACACGACGCGAACCCGTCGTAAGGTCCCAGACTGAATCTGAAAATCGGACAGCACCTCGTCTTGAGTCGTTCCTATTCCGGTCCCGGGGGCCGGGTAAAAGCCCAGACTGAATCTGAAAATGGGACTGATGCAGGCCCACAGAATATACGCTATCACCACCTCCAGTCCCCCACCTTCCTCTACCCTCAACCTCCCCTCCTCGTTCCTGGGAGAGGGACGGGGTTCAGGAGGTGGTGGTGGTGTCCTCCTTCGCACATGCCCCCCCCTAGCGCGCCGCCGAACATCTGTCAAAATCGGTCCCCGACCCCTCCTGGGGTGCATCCGCGGCGGCTCCACACCCCAGATCGAGTGTCGGGGGTCCTGGGGCCCGACGACGGCAAGACGGCCCCCAGAGGTCGAAGACTCGGGGATGGACAGAACCCCCTTTAGTAAAACGTGGATTCGTGAAAACGACCTCGGGCCCAAACCTTGCGGGCGCAAGCCTGGAAAATGACTGCCGTGGGGCGCCCTCCACCCCCGAGACTCTTTGCCGCCCCCGATCCTTCGAGCCTCGCGCGGGCAGCTTACGCGCCAGAGGCCGGCGCAGACGCCCCCGTGGTACTTCCTGCCGCGTCGCGCCCGGGACGGCGCCAGCGGGCCTCCTCCTCCTCCTCCTCCTCCTCCTCCTCCTCCTCCTCCTCCTCCACCGAAAACGGACCATTCACGAATCGACGCCTCAGGGTGAGCTTCGAGCCTCGCAGCTCGTACCTCGAAGTTCCCCTCCTCTGAGCGGGGACCGACCGTCCAGGCATTCCTATAGTCATACCGCGAAATGGTATTAGAACCCAAAACAGTTCTAAGAACAAAAACCATGTTCTTAGAACATCAACCCGCTGTGCTAAAACAGGACAGACTCCGCCAAACATGCTCTAAGAACCTTTCCGTGGAAACCACAAAGGGTTCCTAGAACATGGTTTGGTAAGGCTATAGTCAGGGGGACGTAAACACCTGGGTACAGGGGACTCGGAAATCCCCGACGAGGTCGTCAAAAAAATGACGAGGCCGAGCCTGCATTTTGACGAGGCCTCCCGCTGCAGACATCCCACGAAACTCCTTCTCGTCAAAATCCGAGTCGCGGTCGTCAATAAACGATGGCGAACCCGAGTCCCGGCATACCCGGGTCTTACGCTCCCCCGATATAGGCACGCCGCACGCCAGGACGCTTCGCCGCTGCTTGACCAGAGGACACCCCGCCCCCGCCGCGCTTGCTTCACGCAGCGCGCGGAGGGAGGGGAAGGGAGGGGGGGGAGACACGGGCTCCGCGCGCCGCCCGGCACACGAAGGCCGCGCGGGGGGGGGGGACTGGAGGAGGAGGAGGAGGAGGAGGAGGAGGAGGAGGAGGAGGAGGAGGAGGAGAGGAGGAGGAGGAGGAGGAGGAGCAGGAGCAGGAGGAGGAGGAGGAGGACGAGGAGGATGGGGGGGAGGAGCAGGAGGAGGACGGGGAGGAGTGAGGAGGAGCAGGAGGAGGAGGATAATACCGGGCCGAAGTTGAAGGAAGTGCTGGGTCGGAGAATCATCGCGCCGCTATTGGCGACGCATCGCCGATTGCTCGGTGGAGACTCATGGGAGCCTCAAATACCATCTCGTCGGCTCTTGCGAATCGACGCTCTGATCGACGCTCGACGCTACTCGACGCGAAATCGACGCTAATAAACGCTAGATTGTCACTATATCATCGATTACCAGACGCTAATCGACGCTAGTGCATTCTGAAGACAGAGCCACGTGTGTACATAAGGCTCCCATGAGTTGCGGCCAAACGATAGATCGGCGATAGGCCCTCGAGGACAAATCTGCACGCTACCCGGCAGAGTAGGATAAACAACATGGGATAAACAACTTCTGGAGTCGAGCCTCGGTGGCTACGGTTCGCAACACATCCACGCAATGATGCACTCACGCATTATGATTCGGCAATTGGGGCCATGGGGGCCGATGAGTGGGCCATTGGGGCACCGATGCATTCGCCCCATGAGCCTGTCCCTTCCCTGATCCGAAATCCGACGTTGCAAGCACATGCAACCAGACAGAAAATCACGGCGCGAGGTCTCGACTGCGGTCGAGCGTTTCCCCCGACAGGCGGACTTGGGACGACGAATTAAGAATACCCCAGAAACAGAAATCCTGAACATATTCCAAAAGAAATCGTCCACAGACTGTTGTTTGACTATTTCTGAATATTCCTCCTGTAGAGGGACAGGCCCGACCGAAGCCCAGACCCCGTCCTTCCGCCGCACTCTCTTCGTGCCCGACCCATCTCCTTGCCGGTCCTGGGGGGGGGGGGGGAGGAGGAGGAGGAGGAGGAGGAGGAGGAGGAGGAGGAGGAGGAGGAGGAGGAGGAGGAGGAGGAGGAGGAGGAGGAGGAGGAGGGGGGGAGGAGGGGGGGGAGGAAGAGGAGGAGGAGGAGGAGGAGGAGCAGAAACAGGAGGAGGACGGGGAGGAGGAGGGTCCTGGGGCCTCGAGGCAGGGCGAACGCGCCCAGCGTGCCAAAACAAAAACAGCACACCGCGCGCTTATGCCGTGACGCTGCCCTTTGAGCATAGTCGGGGCGTGGACCCAAGGAATCCTGAAAAGGGAACGAGGCTCCTCTTCTACATACAGGGCAAGGATGTGTAATACATAATTCATGTGTGGATAGATTCATGCATGAACTCGTCGTAGTTTGTAACACTAACCCCCTGCATTTTAATACATGATCCGCACGCGGAGCATGTATTAAAAACGGCACTGTAAATTCAATTTCGCTGTCCCAAGGAAAACCAAAGGAAAACCTGAGGCGAACTGTGAACCAATCGAGGAACACGGAGCCCCTCCCCAACGAAAAAGGTTCCTGCTCAAGCGCCCCGACCGTAGCTGGCTCCCCACGCGAGTCCTCCATCTGCCGCCGCACCACGCCCAAGATGCCGCCCGCCTCTTCTGGTTGCTCTTCGGCCCGAGAGGATGCGGCCGTGCCGGACGGGGACCCCGACGCTTCCAAGCCCGGCGAAGTCGACACCACCCCCTGCACGCAGAACATCGTTCGACCGATCCCGCGCTGGAAGTGACGCTGCAAGCTGCATGTGACGCGGTGCTGGCCGGATCAGAGAGGGAGATGACCGCCCTAGGACTGGGAGCGTCTATCCTGGCAGGACCACCGAATCACACACACACAAACGCACACTCGCACACGTGTTTGGCGCCGCGGCCTCGCGCGCAGCGACGAAGCGCAGAGAGTGTAGAGAGCCAAGAAAACAGAGCAGCGGACGCGCACGGCTGGGCCCCCAGAAAACGAGGCAGGGACCCGCGGCAACAACACAAACACACACACACACACACCCGCACACACACACACACACACACACACACACACACACACACACACACACACACACACACACA